GGTGGCTTGTGTGGACCAGCAGGGGGGTTAGTGAGGGACAACCAAATGACTGAACAGCAGGCTGCATGGGTGACCAGGCCGGCAAGGGGGTTACTGAGGAATGACCAAACGACTTATCAGCAGGCTGTATGGTGCGACCAGGCTGGAAGGGGCATTAGTGAGGAATGACCAAACAAATGAACAGCAGGCTGCATGGGGCGACTAGGCTGGTACGGGGAGGGAGGGGCATTAGGGGTAACCAGCTGGGGGCGACCAGGATGGCAGGGGGGTCAGTTAGAAGTGATCAGGCAGGCAGGCAGAGGTGGTTAGGTTGGCAGGGGGGCAATTAGGGGTGATCAGGCAGGCAGGCAGATGAGTATTTAGGACCCAGTGGTCCAGGAATGTGAGAGAGATGCCTGACTGCCGGTTTCGGCCCGATACCCAGATCAGGCCCAAACCAGTAGTCGGATATCCCTGAGGTTCCCAGATTGGAAAGGGTGCAGGCTGGGCTGAGGGGACACCCCTCCCTCGCCGTGCACAAATTGTATGCAACCGACCTCTAGTTGAATATAAATGTTTTTACAATGCTTTCCAAGCTATGTAGTTTTGGACAGTGTCAATCATAAGTGATAAATTATCTTTTGAGGGTGAAATAGGTTTGGAGCTATTTCAAAAATAATTCAGAATCAAGTCCAGTGAAATGGAGGTAATACAACTTTTGCTTGAAAATTTCTTCACAGAAAGAACATTGTGAACCAGAGTAATATTTTTCCAAAGTCAAGCAATAATTTAAGACAGTGGGCTGCAGTAACTTTTTTAAAAAATATATTTTTTATTGTTTTTTTTTAAAGAGAGGAAGGGAGAGAGATAGAGTTAGAAATATCGATGAGAGCAAGTCATCGATCAGCTGCCTCTTGCATACCCCCTACTGGGGATGTGCCCGCAACCAAGGTACATGCCCTTGACCGAAATCGAACCCGGACCCTTCAGTCTGCAGGCTGATGCTCTATCCACTGAGCCAAACCAGTTTTGGCCTGCAATAACTTTTAAAACATGCAATACCCTCATCTCTTTTCCCTTAGGTTGTCAAATAAAAAAATGACAACAGCCAATACAACAATAGTTGACTAGTGTGAATGAATCAAAATTATAACTTATTTTCTGGGCAGATCAGCAAAAAATATTATTTTGTGGTGTGCTGCAGAATTTTAATAATTAGTTTATGTGTGACATGAGATGAAAAAGGTTGAAAATTGCTGACTCAAAGGAGTATTTCAAATGTCTATAAAATAAACTGAAATATTTACTTGGAGATATTTTGTACCAAGAAAAGACTATTGAAGTCAACAAAAAGAATCAATTTTCTCATTTTGTTCAAATGGTTAAAAATCATTTACTGAGAGTGTAACCACATATGAAAAAGAATCTAAAGTTTTGCCAAAACCAGTTTGGCTCAGTGGATAGAGCGTCAGCCTGCAGACTGAAAGGTCCCGGGTTTGATTCCGGTCAAGGGCATGTGCCTTGGTTGCGGGCACATCCCCAGTGGGGGTGTGCAGGAAGCAGCTGGTTGATGTTTCTCTCTGATCGATGTTTCTAACTCTCTATCCCTCTCCCTTCTTCTCTGTAAAAAATCAATAAAATATATTAAAAAATAAATAAAGTTTCTACTAAAGGTGCTAATGTTTTTCTCCTTGGGCTTATAATATAAACATCTTTTACCATTAGTTATTGATTTCCTCAGACTTCTTTTCTTAAAAAAATTAGACTATCAGGCATTTCAATGTATATATCTTTGAAATATGTACCCTAACTGCCCTGAAATTTGGTTCACAATAAAAATGTAACCACACTCCAAGTTTTTAAGAACAAATCCAAGTTACTCATTATTTTTTTAAATATATTTTTTATTGATTTCAAGAGGAAAGGAGAGGGAGAATCATTATCATCTGCCTCCTGCACACACTACAGTGGGGATTGAGCCCACAACCCAAGCATGTGCCCCGACCGGGAACTGAACCGTGACTTCCCAGTTCATAGGCTGATGCTCAACCACTGATCAATGCTGGTCAGGCCAAGTTATTTAGTTTAAATGTAACAATAATCAACAGTTAATCATTTATTTCGACAAATAAAATTTAATACTTTGATTATTTTTGAATCAAATATAGGACCACTTCATGCCATTTATTTAATAGCTAGTGGCCCGGTGCATGAAATTTGTGCACGGGGTGTGTGTGTGTGTGTGTGTGTGTGTGTGTGTGTGTGTCCCTCAGCCTGGCCTGCACCTCTCCAATCTGGGACCCCTCAGGGTATGTCCAACTGCCTTTTACAATCTGGGACCACTGGCTCCTAACTGCTCACCTGTCTGCCTGCCTGATTGTCCCTAACTGCTCCCCTGCTGGCCTGATCGCCCCTAACCACCTCTGCCTTGCCCCACGCCCAGGATCCAGGATTCCCTCCTCTGGCACCCAGGACCCAGGCTGGCTTTACCTGGGCTGGCCACAGCTGTAAGGGACTGGGACCATGGGGCAGGTGGCTTGTCCCTCTCCAGGGCTGCTGCCTGGATGGTCCCCATTCCTCTATCATGAGCTTATTTGTACTTGCTCCCCTTCCTCTCTCCCCAGTTTTGAGTATCTGAGCTGTTATGGTGTGACAGCGTGATGACCATTTGCATATTAGCTCTTTATTATAAAGGATGAATATTTCTCTGACCCTTCCTAATCCATATTCTGCCAGGGGAAAAACTCTTATCTTTCAACAAATCAAGTTTCTCTCTCTTTTTTTTTTTTAACTTGGGGAAAACAAAAAAACTTACTAATTTTTGCACCTAGCTGAAACAATGCACAAATTTATTTACTTAGAGGAAAAGTTTACTTTGAAAGTTCATAAAATGATGTGCATTTCTTTAGTTTCATAAGACTTTTGTCAACATGCTATATGATATTAGAAATAACATTAATTTTACTTGAATATACACATAATTTAAGATTTAAAGAACTAGGAGAGAGTGGGTATTCATTCAAAAGCAAATAATTAAAGTAAAGGTAAATTGATTTCTGTAAAGCATTTTAATATAGTAATTAACAGGGGTGGAAGTAACCCAAGTTTCCATCAACAGAAGAATGAATAAACAAAATATGATATATGGTTTCAGTATTAAAAAGGAAGGAAATTCTGACACATGCTACAACATGAATAAACCTTGAAGACATTATGCTAAATAGAATAAACCAGTCACAAAAGGACAAATGCTGTTTGATACAACTTATATGAGGCTCCTAGAAAAGTCAAATTCACAGGGACAGAAAATAGAACAGTGGTTGCCAGAGGCTGGGGGAAGTATAGGAGTTTTGGTTTGAGATAATGAGACATTCTGGAGACAGATGGTGGTAATGATTAGACAACAATCAATGTGAATGTACTTAATGCCAGAGAACTGTACACCTAAAGTGGTTAAAAAGATAAACATTATTGGTAGTTACAAAAAGTCATGGGGATATAAAGTACAGGATAGAGAATATATTCAACAATATTGTAATAACTATGTACAGTGCCAGGTGGGTACTTATTTTTAAAATATCGATGGGATCACTTTCTAAAGTACAGTATATGATTATCTGACTATTGTGCTGTACACCTGAAACTAAAGCAAAATTATAAAACTGTAATTGAAAAATAAAATTAAAAAAGGTAAAATTTTTTATTTTTCCAATAATAAAAAATAATAAAAATGGCTATTTAATCAGAAGCAAAATCAGATAGGTCCAAGAAGTCTATAGAACCTCTACCTTCATTAGGATTAAACTGTAAAGGGCAGTTTTACTTGATAAAGCCTTCAAATGTTACAAATAGAAACTCGGAGCAAATTTCCCTCATTAGGATTTCATACATTAGACAGTACACTAGGATGAAAGTAGGTAAATAATTGGATACTACTAAATTGTAGGGCACATAAAAATCTGTTTAATTTCATTGTTTTCAAATGAGTAATGGGAGTTGGTTAGCCAAAAAATATGGGTTTTCCAACCTTATTTTGGAAGGTGTCTGTGGGGAAGAGTCAATCATTTCTTTGAAATCCTAAGATAGTGATGACATGTCATTTTTCTGATAATTAGTTCAAAGATGATGCATTGAGATTTAGAACTGTTAGTTCTCTGAGTCACTCACAAATCAGTAAATACTTTAAGTAAATATGTATTAGGTACTATCTATAATAATAAAAGTCTAACATGTTAATTAGACTGGACATCCTTTGGGATGGAGAGAAGCCCAGATCCCAAGTGCCTGCCAGTGGCCAAAAGGAAGCCCAGGTCCCGGGTGCCAGAGGGAAGCTGGTGCCAGCAGCCAGGGGAAGGAAAGCCTACCCTTGCACGAATTTCATCTAGTGTTAGATATTTATGGATGAGTAAAATCTCCTAACCCTCAAAATTCCTTTTTAGGGTTAAACATACTGGTAAAACAAAAAGTAATACCTACATAAAAATGAAAGCAGTCATAATTTTTAAAGTCGAAAATTCTAAAATAATTTTATCCAACTTTGCAAAAGACAAAAATAGTTTTGAGTATACAAGCCACTTCCAAACATACAATGAATACATAATTTCATGTTATAATTGTGTACTTATGTCTCTCAGTGGTAAAAAAGAAATTTTTTCTAGCTTAGTACATACGTATAATATATATCTTGTACTTGATATATAAATATCTATTTCAGTGATTAGTGCTTAAAAACCTCTTTAAAACATTTTTTCTAAGTCATTTTTACTAGGTTAATATACTAAAGGCCCAGTAAACAAATCCATGCAGGAGTGGTATCCTTTGGACTGGCCGGTGATTGGGGCCAGCAAGCTGGAGGGAGGGACCACAGGAAGTTGGCCGGCCATCGGAGAGTGCACTGACCACCAGAGGGCAGCTCCTGCATTGAGCATCTGGCCCCTGGTGGTCAGTGCACATCATAGTGACCGGTCGACCAATCATTTGGTCACTTACGCTTTTATATATATAGAGAAGATAATACTTACTGGGCTGCTCCTTCCCTGAGAAGATTATCATTATTAAGCAGTAACCGGACATCTGAAAAACAAATATGTTTTCTACATTACTATTTTTCTTATATTTGAAATTTCTATGCAATGAATATGGTTATTTTGCTCACATATTAACAGCACCCCATCAAGATGTAAGCAACATCAAAGTATCATTCTGACAGCCAAAATAAGCAGAAAAACAAAAACATCACTCTGAAGGCCAAAATAACAATAAATAAATAAATAAATAAATAAATAAATAAATAAATAAATAAATCATGGTATTAATTTAAAAATTGGTTAGGAAACAGAAGAGGAAATGAAATACAAATATACGTTATTAGTTAATGAAGGCAGACTAAAATATCTCCAAAGAACTAAAGTGGAATAGGCTATACCAAAAAAGATGGTGTGATAAGATCTGCAAATGACTTAGCACCATGTCTTTACTTAGATAATACTATCATATGTTTCAAATGAATTTGCTCTACAGAAATGTGATTAAACAAGAAATCTGTGAGCAGAGTGCAGAAGTAGAAATTTCTGTCTTGAGAGTATCTTTAAACAAAAGATTAATTCTGATCTAATTTTATATTCAATTATGATGCAGATGTTAGCCTATTAATCATTAAAACATAACAGCCTATATAATAAAGAGGTAATATGCAAATTGACTGTCCTGCCATCACAAGAAGGCAGTGCCCACAGTGGGGCAGGCCCAGCCGCTCTGTGTGCCTGCTGCCGGAGTCCCCTCAGTCCCACCAGGGGCTTCGGGTCCTCCTGTATCCCCCATTGATTGACAGCTCACCAAGGCTCCTCCAACGAGATGCACTTCCCTCTCTTCCTCCCTCCCCCAAAGCTGAAGCCTAATGGTGGTGTCCCACAAATTGGAAGTTATGCCAAAACTGGTTTGGCTCAGTGGATAGAGTGTCAGTCTGCAGACTGAGGGGTCTCGAGTTCAATTCAAGTCAGGGGCATGTGCATTGGTTGTGGGCACATTCCCAGTGGGGGGTGTGCAGGAGGCAGCTGGTCAATGATTCTCCCTCATCGATGTTTCTGGCTCTCTATCCCTCTCCCTTCCTCTCTGTAAAAAAATCAATAAAATATATTTATTTTTTTTAAATTGCAAGTTTTAACTCATGTCATTGACAGTATCCTCTATTCCTCAGCTGGGGCGGGCCACTCCACGCGGCTGCCCAGCCTCCCAGCGCTGACTTGAGGCACAGGCAAGCCTTGGATGGTAGCTGCCCAGCTATCCAGGGCTGGCCCAAAGCTCAGGTAACCAGGGCGGGCCAAGGCTTACACTGCCAGCAGTGGCAGCAGCAGAGGTGAGATGAGGGGGCACTGACTTACCCTAATCGCCTGGGTTGCCTCCTGCCCTTGAGGGATCTGGACTGTGAGAGAGGGCAGGCCGGGCTGAGAGACTCCCCCTCCAGTGCATGAATTTTCATGCACCAGGCCTCCAGTTAAAAATAATACTTCTTATTGGAAAATCCACCAGGCCACTAATATATGTAACCCAATATTTCTTATTGGAAAATACTTCTTATACATTTAAAGAACCAGGGTCCGTAATGTCCAAAATGACTGAAGGGACGACTGAATGCCAGAATGCACGCTCAGCAGGCATGGGTGGGCAGGGACTGGCGAGCGGACTGAAGTGCTGTCCTCTCGGAGAGAAAGGCAGGGCTGTGCAGCAGCTGCCCCAGGCTGCCGGAGAAGTCCGAAGATCAGCCCTTGCCTCTCTCTCTCTAGGTCTTGCCAGTAACCAAACCTCTCTCTCTCCAAGAGGTCAGCAGTTCAGCCCGCTTGTCAGCAGACTGGGGCGGCTGCTGATCAACCCCACCTTTCTGATCAAGTCTGGAGATAGGCCCAGAGACACTGACTGGCATAGGCAGAGTAACCGACCAATGAGAACCAAATCTGGGTGAAGTGCAAGCAGCCAATGGCTGCCTTGGAAGTGGAGCTTTTGATTCTGTCTGGCATAGAAACCAACCAATCAGAACCTAATCTGGGTGAATTGTGAAGGCAGAACCTAAGGTGGGGGCTGAGGAGGGGTTTTAAGGGCAATAGCTGTTTGGTATAAGGTGTAAGAAAGCGGTAATGACTGGTTTGGCAGTATAGTGTATATGGCTGGCTATCAGTCCAGATATAGGGATTATGTGTTTTTGTCTGCCAAAAGCATCTCCTCCTGCTGAAAAAGCCCCCCACCCCCACATTTAAGCAATTCTATCCTATATAATCTAAACTAATAAAATGGTAATATGCTAACTAGACCAGGTAGACCGGCCATCTTTCAGATGTCTCAACTTCCTTCTGGACAAAGTCATGGTAGTAGGGCCAAGGCAGAGGCAGCTAGGGGCGATCAGGCCAGGAGGGGAGGGAAGTTGGGGGTGAAATCAGGCTGGCAGGGGAGGGCGGTTAGGGGCAATCAGGCAGGCAGAGGCAGTTAGGTGTGATCAGGCCGGCAGGGGAAAGCAGTTAGGGGCGAGATCAACTTGGCAGCATAGGGCAATCAGGCAGGCGAGCATTTAGGAGCCAGTGGTCCCTATAGGATCAGGCCTAAACCACAGTCAGACATCCCCCAAGGGGTCCCCAATTGGAGCGGGTGCAGGCTGGGCTAAGGGAACCCCCCAGGTGCATGCATTTCATGCATCGGGCCACTAATACACACACACACACACACACACATACATACACACACACACACACACAAAAGCCGAGCAACCGTCCAACTATCAGACCAGTAGCTATGACACACAATGACCACCAGGGGGAAGAAGCTCCAATTGGTAGCAATGAATACATGAATAGATGGAACAAGTTGATATTTCTGTGTCTCTCCCTCCCTCCATCCCCCACCCCATGCATGAATTTCATGCACTGAGCTACTAGTCCTATATAATAAAATCCCAGTGATTAAATGTGGAATGATCAGAATGACTGGTTGACCAGTTGCTATGACATGCTCTGACCACTAAGGAGTAGACACTCAACATAAGAGCTGCCCCCTGGCTGTCAGTGCGCTATCACAAAGGGGGTGCAGCTCGGCTGACTGGGATGAACGGCTGCTCCCACTGCAAATCCTGGGCTGATGGGACTTAGAGGAAGTAAGTGTTAGAAATGACAAACTGCAAATAGACAATGGAGGCAGCAGGCCCCTATGTGAGCAGGAAAAAGTCAGAGCCCTCCAGGATGTGGCCTAACTGGTAGCATAGCAATTAGGTCAGTGGTCCCCAACCTTTATTTGTCCATGCCCCATCTAAGCATCTCTAAAATCCTGATGTTCCCCCTGCCCCACCCCGTGACATATAATTCTTACTATTAAAAAAAAAAAATGAGCCGGGACCGGTTTGGCTCAATGGATAGAGTGTCAGCTTGGGGACTGAAAGGTCCCGGGTTCAATTCCGGTCAAGGGCATGTACCCTGGTTGCAGGCATATCCCCAGTAGGGGGTGTGCAAGAGGCAGCTGATCGATGACTCTCTCTAATCGATGTTTCTAACTCTCTATCTCTCCCCCTTCCTCTCTGTATAAAATATATTTTTTAAAAAAAACAAAACTCCTATTCACATGGAGGAAGCCTAAAAGGCCATTCACTTAGTCTAAACAAGCTTTCTAAGAACATGGCATCCGCGCAAGAGAAAAATAGATGAAAGGACAGTTGAAGTATTGAGGAAGAAATCACTAAGAAATTGTTAAAAAATAATAATAATAATAATAATACAAAGTAATATAAAAAAATAGCAACTAAAGTATTAAACATATAATGGAGAACTGAAATGCATAAATATGTCATGATATCTATTTATACACTGTATAGGAGGTTCCTAGAACCATAAGAAATGCAAAAAAGTCAGGTAACAACTCATTCTTGAATTGCCCCCCTTAAAAATCAAATTGTCCCCCTATGAGACATATGCCCATGTTGGGAACCACTTACCTAGATGAAGGAGCCTTATTGTTTAAAGGCACATTTTTTGAGACATAAGAGAGTGGGTGACGTGCTGCTTGACTAGGGGCATTTCCCCCGAGGAGTAATAAATCCTGTAAACCCCCAAATATCGGGGCATTCAGTTCACTTTCGGCCAGCTGAGTGAACTGAGTCTATTTTCTGAGTCTATTTCTTTCCTACAAATAAATCCTCTCCCGTTTTAGCTGCCTTTGTTGTCTCTTGTTTGAATTCATTTCTACAAGGAAAATGAGAACTGGGGGCGCAGAGTACTATGTCTGGCCAGAGAGAGCCCCTTGACCACCACTGACATCATCCAGCCAGGGCAACTGATTAAACTTCTTAATAAACATGTTAAAGTAGTTTACTGTGGGGTAGAATGTTTTAAAAAATGAAATAAAAAAGTCCTGTGTAAATTAATTTTAATTTAAGACATGGTGAAGGCCAAATAGATGAGGTAGATATAACACATGTAAAATGTTTGTGGTAGGTTAGTCTTAAAACTGCTTAAAGTTTTATAAAAAGATCACTACAGGCCATATTCTTGGCAATTGTTTTAACCACGTGATTCTTAGTGTTAAAGAGAAGCTATCTAACAGCTTTTACAGCAACCAGGAATTTCTATAAATTTAATAGTTTGAATTTTTTATTTATAAATGAATAATTATAAAAAAGTGAGGTTTATAAAAGGCATACTGTAAACTAATTTAGGGGATATAATTTAAAGAATTATTTTTACATGTGCTGTAATCTTCTAAGTATGGTGAAACAATGTCTCCCCCCGGCCCCCTTTTTGGCTTCTCATATTAATCCAGTATGTTTTTCTTTACAAAAATAAAAAAAAATGGCCTGGGCAGTGTGGCTCAGTGGTTGAGCACTGTCCCAAGAACCAGGAGTTTAAGGTTCAATTCGTGGTCAGGGCATATGCCTGGGTTGTGGGTTTGATTGCTAGTAGGCAGCTGATCAATGATTCTCATCACTGATATTTCTATCTCCCTCTCCCTGAAATCAATAAAAAACATTTTTTTAAAAAGAGAAATACAAAAATGAATTTCCCAATTCCAAAAAAGTTAAAATTAAATTTTTCTTGCTTTTTAAAATAAATTTTCTTTTAGAGGGATTCATTTATTCAAACATAATTATCATGTATAGCTTACTAGTAAAAACATTATATTCTAGACATAACAAAATCCAGACTGACAAAAATATTCACTGTAAAGAAAAAAATAGTTCTCTACATATTCCCCTTAGCTTAATTGTTTTGGTTATGTCATTTACTTTTTTTTTTTTAATGCTTAATATATCAAGTCTTAATATTATGAATTAAACACTTACCATTAAACACTTCATTAAATTCTCCAGGAGGAGCATGAATGATGAATTTTGCTGCTATACGCACCTAAAATAGAAATGAAGATATAAATGTCCCATAGTATATGCCTCTATCAAAACAAAAACAAAAAATTCAAAATTATGCTATTTTAAAGTTCCATTAAAGATGGCTTAAGAAAATTCACCCAACCACCTAAAGTTTATTATTGTTTTAATCATTTACTACTATCTATACTAATAAAAGGGTAATATGCTAATTAGACTGGGAGACCTTCCAGATGTCCTTCTGGACAAAGCCATGGTGGTGGGGCTGAGGCAGAGGCAGTTAGGAGGGATCAGGCCAGAAGGGGAGGGCAGTTGGGGGTGAGCAGGCCAGCAGGCTTTGACCACCTCCTGGTCTCTCCCCAACAGCCTGATTGCTGGATGGCCAACAGGAAATCACGGGGAACTGGGGTAGCGGCAAGCGAGGCAGGAATGGGGAGAGTGGGCAGAAGATGGCCCTGATTGCAGTAGAGGTGTAGGGATCTACCCATGCACAATTTTGTGCGTTGGGCCTCTAGTTATAATCATAATGTACAGGCTGAATGTAGATAAAATATATGAAAGTCTCTATAACAACCTAACTTTACATTACAAAAAATTACAAAAGAACAAATAAAGCCTAGTTATCATAGTAGAAAGAATAACAAAAATTAGAGCAGAAATAAATGATACAGATAAAATAGAGATCAATAAAACTAAGAGCTAGTTCTTTGAAAAGATTAATAAGACTTTTATTTTAGTTAGACTCACCTAGAAAAAAAAAGAGATGACTCAAACAAAATCAGAAATGAAAGAGGAACTGTTATAAATGATACCACAGAAATACAAAGGATCATATCAGACTACTATAAACAATTATAAGCCCCCCAAAATTGGACAATTTAGAAGAAATTGGCAGTTTCTAAAACAACGTGCCAAGACAAAATCATAATGAAATAGAGAATCTGAACAGACCAATTATAATGCAATTAAATCAGTAATCAAGAATCTTCCAAAGAAAAACATTAAGGACCAAACAGCTTCAATGGCAAATTCTACCAAACTTTCTTTTTTAGATATATTTTTATTGATTTCAGAAGAAAAGAGAAACATCAATGATGAGAGAATCATTGATCAGTGTCTCTTGCAAGTTCCCTACTGGGGATCTAGCCCGCAATGGAGGCATGTGCCCTTGATTAGAATCGAACCCAGACCCTAGTCCATAGGCCTATGCTCTATCCACTGAGCCAAACCAGCTTGAGCCAAACCAGTATTCTTAAAAACAACTCTAAAACACAGACATTTTCACATTACATGTTAGTTTTTTTGTGCAGGGCATTCTCTTCACACACATTGACCTCCTTTCCCCTCACTTGGAAATCATCACTTTTCCCTTTCTACTTGATTCTGCTCACTTCAAAAACTAGTTTTAGCAGAAGAAAAAAGCTAGATTCCTAGATGCATGGTGGCAATGTACAATTAAAATCTGTTTTTTATCTACTAGTAAGCCAAAACAAATAATCTGCATACGAGTCTTAATTTTTTTAAAAACTTCTACAAATCTCCATTTTTAATAGGTAAACTAATGGAAATAAAATATATCATTTCTTAACTTTCTCAAATCCTTGCCACTGTTATATAAAATATTATGTACAATTATTCTCTGAGATAGCTGTTTATTACCCTTACTTTATGAAAGGAAAAAGAAAGATCCAGAATGGGAATTTAAATAAAGAAGTCCAAAGCTTTTCAGAGCTGCTTTCCAACACAGCATATGGGAATGGGAACAAAAGAAATCTCTGGGTAAATGCATCTAACTCCACTGCTTCTGCTTCTATTATTGGCACACAACAAAAGCTTTCCATCTATACACCACCTATCACACCCTCTCAAGATTAAGATCCATTTTTCTACTACTATTGATCTATTAGAAATCTCCATCACAAAGCTTCAAAGATACTTCTCAGACAGTTTTCACCCAAACCCACTCCTTCTTTCTTGATAAAATTCCCTCTCCCAGTCAGTCACATGAACAATGATGTCTAGCTCTCCAGCTCAAATCCAATTTTCTTTGATTCCACTCAATTCAGACTTTGTTCCTAGGTTGTGACAATAGTTGCCCTGCCTATAGCCACATCTTTCTCTAAAATTCATTTTCTATTGTCATTAGATTGATATTTTTCAATGTAAATTCTGATCATGTTTGCTTTTTTCTGCTTAAAATAATTTATCTAATGGTCCCTCACTGCATGACATGTCAGGATTTCCCATATCTGAAAGCTACAAACTGTAACTGTTAAACAGCAAATTAGAAGACCTGGAAGTAAAATAGACTTTCTAAAAAATGACATCAGGGTAGTTTGTGATTCTTTCAACCTTCTTTAGATCAGAATTCCCACAAAAATCAGAAGAAAACGTGAGCAGAATTCAGTTGTAAATTATTAAATTATTCAAACAAGGGAGAAACAAGGATATTCATTTTTCAATATCAGATGAAGTTGATTACAATATTTTAAAAGAGAATTTCCCAAATCTTTTCTGTAGGAAAGAATGTCACCTTATTGATCAAGTTCATTTTGATAAATCTCATAGGAAATTGTTTCCTGCTTTCTACCAAGCACTAGCACTACTTTCTTTTTGTAAATGTGAGGAAATAGCCATTTAGGATCAGAGATGTCTCAGATTGCAGACAGTGAAAAAAGTATTATGTTAATGCTGGGATGCAGCCTGCCAAATTCTTCATGTGCTGCAGGCCAGAGGGAGGAGGCCTCTCATATTATACAGACCATGCCTGTACCCTGACTCTACAGACAAAAATCAGTGCCTCCAGAGGAGCAAATAATATTGACAGGTTGGGTGGCATTGACATGTCATGTTGAATCAAGGCAAACTTTTATCACATTGATGCGAAGATATTAAATACAATACCCAGAAAGAATATTGCTTGGTGCTAAATCCTGTGGAGGCCTTGTTTTCCTCAAGTTTCAATATATTTTTCTTTCAGTGTTGCAATAGACTTAAGTGGAAGAGAAGGCACATTTGGTATAAAAAGCTGTGATCGAAATCCTTAATATCATTAATGGCATTCATTGATGATCCAGACAAATATCAATAAGGTATTGAATTGTTGCGCTCAGTCTTGGGTGATCCCCCAGAAAGAATAGTTAGTACACAACATCAAGTGTTTACTATCCTATATTACCTGGACCACAGAATTTGAAAATGTACAATCTTATGTTAAACCTACACTGCTGAGTAAGACTGAAAAACTTCCGCGGGAAGAAAGCCAGAAGCACATGAACTCCACATAGAGCTTTCTGTCTTGTAATCCTTGATTCTGTCCCTTTTTGCATTAGTGCTTCAGAATTCACCTTTCTCAGCAATGCCAAACTTCATGGTGAAATGGCACAGGTAGAAGTGATTAGGCTATGTTGCCTCTTTAAGATGTGGTTGTTATTGGAAGAGATAAGCATCTGGCAGTGCCACTTCAACTTTAACCTGAAGGAACAATAGGGTGGGAGAATTTTTTATGGGTAGCCAATTAATTGTTGCCACCAATTTATAAAAACTGTTGGAAAAGTTAGTTATTTCAACTACTTGTGTTCATGAATTCCCCAAATTATTTTTATGCTTTTGATAGACACTGTAAATTGGCAAGATTTTTACAAACACTAAGGTAAAATTATAGTTCCAGGAGATTTAAAAACTGTCTGAAGAAAACTTTAATTCTTTAGCAGGAATAGACTCCTCACCAAAGAAGCTATAAGTACAGAAACCTGACAAAAATTTAAGAATTTTTAAAAAGCCTTGAGCAACTGAAAAAAAGGGAGATAAAGGTATATAAAGCAGACATACATACCACAAAAAATAGCTAAATGGAATCCAACAACCCTGCAATCTACAGAAGCCTCAAAGTATACTGCACAGAAAATACACTAAAAATAATTTGTAATTCATCTTCATTCAAATTTAACTAGGAATCCTATATTTTATCTGGGAACCCAGCCAGCAACCCCTCTAATTTCCATATGTTGAACATTATCCCACATAGTTATCTCCTCCTTCACTAAGGCAGAAGACATTAGGGTAGAGATTTCCCAAATCAGGATTCACTGGAAAGCTTTAAAAAGAAAAAAAAACAGAGACCCATGTTCCATTCCAGATCTACTGAATCAATCTTCAGAGGATTAAAATCTGCCTTTCAGAAATCCCCCCCTCCCAGGGTGATTCTGTTGGGTAGCCAGTTATTACACTGCTTCATAAGGAACTCTATGCAAAACCTGAGGTGTTTGGTCTTCTACAGAAAGGAACCATAGGATTCACCTGATTCTCAAGGAATATGATTCCAAAGGGTCACTGCCTTATAGATGGTTAATCAAGATAAAAATAGATATTGAGCATTTTTCACTTCAACAAGATTTGACATCGATTCCCTATAACTCCTAAACATTGTCTATACCTTTTTGAGAGTTACTAGAAAAACACTTTTTAAAACTCTATCATATTTAAGTAGTTTACGATCAAATGATCACTACTGTATGTCTGTGTTAATTTAATTTGAGAGGCAATCTGTTTTGGTAAGGTCTAAAAATTTTTTTTCTTTATAATTATCATTTTGAATGATAATTAAAAACAACTCCTTTCCCTCACTACCCCCCAAAACAAAAACAAACAAACAAAAAAAAAAGGGCCCATATCACTTATAGTTAAATAGGTCATCTACTGAATTCAACATCAATTTTTCTTTAAATGTGTTATCATTTATTTAAAGTATTAAGAAAACCACAAATCCAAAGGCATTATACACTGTAAAAATTTTAAGCTATTTACATTTTCTATTTCTTTCTCTCCTCTAAATCATTCCTCTCAACCCACAAATACTAATTTTTTCTTCTTAAAAGAGAAGTATCCCTAAAATGAAAGAGCAGGAAAAATTTAATAGTAGTAATATACCCACTTTTCCTATTTTGCTTCACTATCAATTTTTTTCAAGAATAATTTATACTTACTGTTTTCCTTTCTTATCTTTTAGTCAACGTTTATTGA